ACTGGGGAGTTAAGGAAATGGGAGAAGAGAGAGAGAACGGTTGCTTCATTTTTGGACCTAACCCACAAAAGTTGTCCTTTAGTGGGTTCTGGCCTGTCGGTCGAGGCGGCTGTCAAACATCCCCACATCAGAAAACGTCGTGATCTCACTCAAAGCTTACCAAAGCGGGCAATTTTCTTCATGGATATGAGAGAAGAGTAATGCATAGCCACTTGTAAATTTACTCATACAATCAGATAACATTTTATTGATTTTCAGATAACGCGACCACAATAATATCCTTCAGGGGCTACATGCCGCGCGCAAATGCAACCTTTACTCTGTTCAACTCCGACTCACTCCTAACAGCGACGAAGTTAGCAAAAGTGAGTTTCGTTTGGACGCCGTCTACCACCACGACGATTTCGCCTAACACGACAACCGAACCTCCTGCCACTTCGTCGACAACTCCAACCGCAAGCAGTAGTAGTACGCCGAAACCAGAGGTTTCAACGACTACGTCGACAACGACATCAAGCCCGCCACCGGGGACCACTTCGGTGAAACCGCCTACCACTGAGAAGGAGACTCTACCGACAACGACGACGAGTGTATCGATTTCCATAGAAGCAACAATGAACACAACAGTGGAAGTGACAGACTCGACCGTAACCACACCTGACGAGACTACTTACACAGTTGTTGGCAAAAGAGTAGGGACAGATGGCACAACTCCAGACGCATCAGTTCAAATCCAACTCACTACTCATAATGGTCAGCAACCCCAGACCGTGGAATGGGTTGACGTATCGCCGGCTTCGAACATAACGAAATCCACAGTTGAAACACCAACCTACAGTGACAGCTTGAATGCAGCTTTCATGGAGAAAACACCAACTGCTAGGCCAAATAAGTATCGCGGACGGAGGGCTGATCCACCAACCATGGTGGTTGACAGCCCTAACTCAAGTACGCCTGAGAACTCCGGTTTGGTCAACAGCTTTGCCCCCAGCTCCGGCCAATTAACTATTTCGGCACCCGAAGCTGCTCAAACGAATGATGCGAACACAACCAGTTTCCACTCGGAAGAAAACGTTACTTCAGCATCAAATGCTACTTGGACGACGATGCCGGATACGGGAATCGGGAAGAACATCTCCTCGGCAGTTACACCTGCGTTAACGGCGGAACAGCCGTCTACGGTGACGGCGGCCCTAGGAATAACATCAAGTAACTCAACATACTGATGCCCGGCGAGATTACCGCGGCGAAGGACGCATACGACACCATCAGAGCCATAACTTTCCATTCACGTAGACTTTAGTTTATTATTAGTTTAACATTTTGACAAAAGCTTGTCCATGTGTAATAATTCTAGTTCTATTTAGCACCTTCTTGTGGTCATTTCATGGAGGTCCGTTTCCATATTTTGAGCTTCTTGTTAATCTATTTCACAGATGTTTTCATGTATGTTTCTCAGAAAAGTATTTATTTCATTGGGTGCACTTCCTTTCGGCGATCAACGATAAATAGGTGGTCTTTTACTTATCGAATCTGGCTAGAAGTTCGGACCTAACTCGAGTTCGACAAAATAGTGATTCTGTTGTCTAGAAAATATGCCATGAGAAGTTGCAATAAGCGTCTTTGGACAATTCGTGAGCCATCCCAAAATATGGAAAAACGAGGTTTATCCGGTATATTGGAAGAGGAAAAATGATCGATTCCGCAGTCCACAGGATGACTTGCATTGCATTCCGTCAGTGTTGGGAGGAAAGCACTGAGGGCAGGGGGAAGATATGCCAAGCCAAATCGATACAGATTGAAACCGTAGGGAAGGCTGAACTGTGGAAGTCTTGCTTGTGGACGAGATGAAACGTCCACAGACAGACACCTGCTTTAACCCGGGGAGGATCCTACATGAGTTAGTGATTGCGGCAACAATAGGATATTTTCATTAATTTTACAGCGGAGGTTGTATGCATTCCGTGACGATATAATAAAAAAGGAATGGATTCTTGGGAAAAACATTGATTTCTACTCAGGAATTTTCGAACTGTTGGCACTGAGGCGGTGAAGGATGTGAGATCAACTTAAACCCCGCACAATAAGTTCGTTTCGTCTAATGACAGAAGTAGGGGAGCTGTGAGGACTAGTTTATTCTGTTCACATGGCAGGTTGCCGTAAGTTGGCTGTTTGCTTGCAACAGAGATAAACGTCCGTTCACGGAAAGCGTCAGTCGCGGTGTGTAGTTTATGCGGGAGTGAAAGTCTGTGTCAGTAGGTGGGGGTTGAATGCTGGTCATGAGATTGGACGGATTAGGGGAGGATTAAGGGGAAGCATAATTACAGGGGCTCACTGGTATCAAGCCAGGTCGTCCGACGCACATGAGGGGATAATCGTTTGTGGGGGACAGCCGGGGGTCACTACAGCTGGGCAGGAGGGGTCCCAGTTCTAGCCGGCGGGGGTGGTTGTGTGTCAGCGGCCTGGCAACGATTGTCGCGGCCATCGGCCGACAAAACGGAGCCGGAGAAAAGGAGAACTGGAGCGGCTGCTACAGCACCAACGCGTCGTCAGACGAAATGAAGATAAAAAGTGAGGCAGTCACAATAGACTGGTTGACGCTACAGGACAGACATTGACGGGCGGACCAGTTCGACATCCGCGTTGCCCAGAAGCCTGCATCCTCGCTGCACGTAGCCGTATCTCGAGTAATGGATTCTATTCCCAAAGAGGAGCGACCAATTTTATCTTTCGAATCCCGTGGGCCAGTTGTCCCTGCGTATATGTTGGCCATACAGGACGACGCCTGGGAGCTCGGATCAATGAACACAAGTTAGCTGTCCGTCGCCGTGACCCGCTGTCCATCGTCTTTGCATATGCACTCCAGTACGACCACCAATTCAATTGGGACGACACAGAGGTCGTCGCCACGGCCAACATAAAAGGGGTGGAGGAGCTCCTACAGGCATGGTACTATAATGCGGACAGCATAAACCGCCATGTTGACTTAGACGCGCATTATGAGGGCCTAAATCACGCCTCACTAAGCCGAGCTCACACGCCGCATCAGCGGCCGCTAACCCTGACGCCCGTAGTTCGCAAACCTATCATTCTCCCTCCCCTCCAACACGGGGAGTCCTGACTGTTCTCGCTCCCCTCCCCCCTCCCCCCCTCCCTGCTCAGAACCCAGCGTGACTCTCCGCCCACATCACTCCTCACACGCTAACGGTCAGCCAGTCGATGTGTGTCCTGTCGCGTCAACTAATCTAGTGTGACTGTCTCACTTTATTTTTTATCTGCATTTCGTCTTACGACGGGTTGGTGCTACCAACGGGAAAATTCAAGAGCAAAATTCATTTTTTTCCGAAGAACCTCTTTCTTTTTCATTTTCTTAAATGAATAAAAGTGCTAGTCTCTGCAAGTAACCTGAAATTAAATTTAAACCGATACCTAAGATCAACGTGCCTTAAGGAGCTGATTCCACGTACCGATTCTGCAGCATAATGGGGAGCCCTAACCACCGCTAACTTGACGCCGCTGAAACAGTGTTCATATGCTTCGGTCCCGGCATGAAAATTTTTCACATCCGTGGTCATCGAACGCCCATCTCGACAGTGCGAATATGAGAAAAGAAAGTTTGCTGGACATCCTCGTGAGCTTCTAGACGCAACACGCCTGGAAAGGCACGGTCCTCTAAACTCATCCAGAGACCACGGCGAGAAGGTGTCACCAAATGCACAACATGTTGAGCAGTTGTTCCGACGCAGCCATACACTACGTCTCGAATGCCGTTTCTTATAGTTACGCTGGGCCTATACTTGGCCCTTTCAGGGGTCTCCATAGAGAGAAAACCCCACCACCTGTAAGTGAACAATTTTTGGGCGCTTCTTGCTTTTACATTGAAGCCGAAGCGGGCTTCATCATAACGAGTTTCCAAGACTGGGATAAGTGGTGAAATTCCGAATTTAATATACTTCTATCTGGGCTCTGGCATCCAGCGCGTTAAAATTTCCAATATTTCTTCCAACCTCACATGTGTAGGGGGCAGTTATCCAGGGTAGAGTGTTTAATCCACCCTCTTCTCTCTTTTGGCCATTGATGCACACATATTTCAGAGTGGCAGGCCTTTTATGTGCAGCAGATATCCACAAAATGAAAGGTGTAGTAGTTTACAAATGGTTGCAGATCAGTCGCAAACCGACACAGTGCATGGACCCACTATCTATATTAATAAAGAAGATCTTTAGGGGAATGGGACACATCAAAATATTTAAGGTAACGCTACGTTGTTTAGAAATGCCAATGTTTTAGAAAGCTAAAAATTCGGAAAACGTCAAAGATGGTCAGTATAGTTTGAACTTCGGTTTTAGATGTACAGAAAGCCTGCCCATGCAAAAATGAGAAAATATGACAGCACAAATAGAATAACGTTCAACAATAGACTTTTGGTGGAGATCGTTGCGTTTTTCACGCTATACATTGGTTCAAATGCAATTCAATAAAACAAACAGGGTTTTGCTTAATTTTGCCAATAGAGACGTTATGGGAATAAAAGCTTTCATTGGGTAATGTGTTGCCAGGCTGGTCGAAGATTAACAAATCTAAGTAGATTTGGCAGATGTAATCGCAAACATACCACCTTTTTCCGTGAAATTAATTTGCACTTTTCCTGGTTAGATCGGCCCTGAACACGATGCTGATAATAATTTGAAGGTTGTCTGCCGATACAAACCGGCGGATAGCGACAGCGCACACGAACTATTGAAATGTGACCTCCAGGCATTTGCCCAGTTTTGCTGCACGCAAGGCCTTTCCTTTTCCTGGCACAAATGCTCAGTTGTGGTGGTTGACGAATATCACTAACCTAAATTATGCATTGACGGTCACGACACAAATGTGCCAGGGGTTATTAGGGAGTCGGTATATCATAATCCAAGAGTCCCCAATATTTCAGAGCATTTCGCGCAGACTGTTTCTATAGCACACATAATGGCCGGATTTATGCTCCAGAATTTAAAAACCAACGACATTAAAACCGGCCTCTGTAACATTAACGTTTGACGTGACCTGGAATATATTTTATTTCTATTTGGTCTCTTGCGTGCTGCCGAGCGGCAGAATCTGCCCAGCATTTTTTACCAAAAGGGTATTGACATCCGAACACCGAAATTCCTCTAACCAGGCACTTAGTAGACTCACAGGCCTTGATCTTTTGTTGTCTGCCGACTAAAAAGAGACCTTTTTATTGGTAAACACTTGAATTTGTCTGCTTACTAATTCGAAGCATCCTGTTTTCCGCTAATGCGACAGCCACTGTAAGAAGTCTAGTCATTGCGTCTCCGTTAACGCAGTTGCAATGTGGAATAAGTTGCCCAAGGGCATAGAAATCATGCAAAATTGCTCTTTGTTTAAACTAATCCTCACCTGCTCTCCGCATGCAGATCGTCTTCCGCAATTCTAGGGCGCCATATCTTCTGAATTAATTTTCCATACGGATGAAATTCGCTGTCTTTAACCTCGATGCCTGGCGTCATCTCGAAGAGAATGGCGTTGACTCTGCAGTTCGTCACTTACCAAACAAAGTCCTAGTCCGGCGGCGAGCAACTATTCATCCATGTACTCTTGTCTGGTACATATGCCCATTTTCAAGTAAATGAATCGAGACTGCAGAATCCCTCTGTACGCATGCCAGCTATTCTTGTTCTGGACTGATGTCATTTTTCGGGCTGCATGTTTTTTCTCATAACTTATCCTGAGTACCCAGAACCCGACCAACTGTACGGGTTCTTTTTTCACGGTTACCTAGATCCAAATATTATATTTACTTTGATAATGTATGTAAACTGACGTTCGATGTAATAATTATAAAGATGGACCATGTGTTTGTTTCTGGCTGCTTTTAGGTACTGTCGCACATCATTCTCTACTTCCCTGGGTACTGATGTTTTTTATCTGAAAGTAAGTATCAAAAGACGCCCACGTACATTTTGTATCTTGCCATTGCTTTTGGTTATATAAGTAGTTGTGCTATCGGTCGCTTTTGTTCGGCCTCTGCTGTTACGTTTTTATATGTCTGATGAGAATTCCATGCCTTATGTTCAACATTATTGAAAAAGTTCAGAAAGAGGATCCCGGTTGAACTATTTATCTGCTGTATGAGACCTACTCCTGGTTGACAGTGTAATCATACAGTCGGCTCTTATATTTAAGAGGCCTTTTCCCTGAGGTTCCCAAAGCCGAAGAGAGG